TCGTTAGACCATTGACCTCGCATCCCTACAAAGCCGGGACGGAGCACGCCGGGTTCTCACCGGACCGGGAGGGGGTGAAGATAGTATCCTGACGAGGGCGGAACAAGATGAGGTAGCTGCTTGTGCAGTCTACAGTAGACATGGCGGGCGCATATCAGGCCATTGGGAAAGCGATGAAAGTCTCCCAGGTCATGGATCTGTACATGGAGCGAGGTGCGGTGTCGCTGCCGTTTTTAGTGGCAGCGCCCCGCCTCCTTTGAGGCATTTCGTGTTTACCAAACGCAGTCGATCGGGACCGAAGAGATGAACCCTGACACTGCAATCGATTACTGAGTTGACAACAACGTGCCGTAGGCTGAATAGAGTACGTGCAGCCTTTGCTAGGAGCCAAACGGAGTCACCTAACTGTCACCGCTAGCACCTGGCGTGAAGCTGAGAGAAGTTGAGCGACACGTACAGTTGTTTGGTTGTAGCGATTACCACTGAAGCACGGCACTACCTGTCCGATCTTAACCACTGCAAAAAAAGGCCGGCAACTAAATCTGGGGGGTAGAGGTGGGTCCCGTGGCCGCCGTTGATATGCTAGCTCGAACGAAGCTTTGGCTTGCAGCGAAAGTCCTTTCAGTCACTGTATCGTTCTGGCCGACGACCTCGGCAGCACTTGTACGCGTGCAGTTCTTTGCTGGCACGAAACTTTGTTGTTGTTGTTGTTGTTGTCTTCACATTAACAACCTTTCCGTTCTCTCAACCCAGTAACTTCTTCTGTCCGTACTACAGTAGTAAAACACTTGGCGCAGTCGATTCCTGTGGTCCCATTTTGGAAGTGAAAATTATATCACTCGGCATTGCTCATGTGCAGATCGCTACTCTGTAGAGCAGGGAAGCCGGCTCGCTTGCGTACTACCGGGCGTCGTTGCAACGCGTAGAGCAAAGAAGTACGGCGGCATCTCTCGCCGGCGAAGGTAGGCTTGGTGATCATACTGGCGAAGCGCCGATGCGCAAATCAGCGGCTGAGCCCCCCTTGTCTCTCTCCTTCTGTGCATGCCGAACCGTCCTACTACGTTGTTGGTCTCGGGCAAGAAGGTGACGGCGTTCCGCCCAACTCGAGAACACGATTTTCCAAGGAACACAAGGCCACACCACCATGCTTGTGATCACGAAAGGCGTCGGGGTTAGTTGAACCAGCACGGACACTGGAAGGTACTGAGCGGAGACCTGAACGGTTTTTGATATTAAGACAACGACAACGACAACGACAACAACAACAACAATAAGAACAACGACGACGACGACGACGACGAAACCACAGACCGAACGGCAGCGGAGGGGGGTCTAGAGTACGGTGTTTCGTCGAGGTCGAGGCTGATTTTTTGGCGGATGTCGATATGGAGACGGCTTTACTGGCAGATGGAGAGGGATCTCGGCAAGCAGACGGCTCTCTGTGTACTTGTTTGCCTGCAGTCACGATAATTTTGGGTGCGAAAAACAGACAGGCAATATACCTGCGGGCGAGATCAGCCCGTGACACGGCTGTTGGCATGCCAATTGTTGAGAAACACGACCGCTAGACCACTAGTCAGCGCTAACTCGTGGTCTAGCCAAGTGGTCATGTTGCTTTTTTACAAAAGGTCTGATGGAGCAGACGCAGCACGAGGGCGACGGCGTCCAAAGATGGGCCTCTCCCAAGAGTCCTAACGACAACACATGTCCTTTTGATACAAGCAGTGCAAAAACTGGTTAAATTAACCATGAAAACGTCAAAACACAGGTTCAGAGTTCTCTCGATGGTTAACAACGCTGGTACAATCAAATGTCAAAAAGCATGCACAAATCCTACTTGTTGTTCACATCTACCTACATGGACATGGCCAGCCGTGAACGGCCAGGTCGTGGCTGAACGGTCCGGCCGTTGCCAATCCAACCGCCGACATGTGATGAACAACCCAAAGTGACCGTCAGTCCGACAGGATAAGGATCCAGAGTACGACGTACCAAGCGCTCGCCCAACATTCGACGAAAAAGATAGTACACCAACGGGCACACCTAACTCGGTGTTGGGTCACACAAAGGCGGTTTGGGCGAAAGGTAGTGCACAAAGCCAAACATCCAACGTCCTTGCGAATCCTTCAGAAGACTCGATACACTCCACGCGCAACACTGAACCGCCACCCCCTAGTACACACCAGGCAATGAGGCAGCGGTCAGCAAAGCAACCAGAGAGTTTTTTTTCTCCAAGCCAACTGCACGAAGTCTCGCTCGAGGGGGAAAGCGTGTTTATTGTTCGCGTGTGTACGATATTTCTCGTTGCGGCGCGGCCGCACTCGATAAGAGCGGCAGCTAACGAACAACACATAGCGTCAACGCAAGCTAGAAGTTAAAAAAATATGCAGAAAGAACAGCAAGAATGCCGGCCGTAATCCGCCCACCCCCCTCACACAGGAAAGGATATTCTTGTCGATTGTTCAAGCTTGTTGTTTACGACTCTTCTACACTGGGAGTGATGCTCCGCCGTACTCACCCTCTAAGCGCACGTGCCTTCAGTGGTGTCGGTCTTCCATTCACATATCCCCCTGTCCCACCCGGCAAAACTCAGAAACATTACCCAACATCTGGATATGCGAGCTTCTGCCGTATTCTCAGAAAACACTGAATGGAGTTACTATGCCACGGCTGCATGGTGATGCGGTCCACTCAGGACACCACGCCGTTCGCTACCGTCCGAAGAAACCCCAGAGCATTGTCCCTGCTATGGTTCCCCCATAAATACCCCGCGTAGTCCGACAAGCTGCCTCCCTCTTCCTCCTCCTCCTCCTCCTCCTCCTCCTNTCCTCCCTCCTGTCCTCGCTTCGTCGTCGCCAAAGTCAGGACTAAAGCCATCTCTCTGCCTCTCTTCATTTCCGATGCCCTTTTGTCTTCTCAAGCGTCGATTGCCACTACTGTCTACATGCACCCGCTCCACCTTCTTCCCTTCCTTCGACGCCCCTTCGATGCACCAGAAAAGGACGGGCCGATGCGTTAGAGCCACCCGACGGCCGTCGGTCACCGCCGCCCGTCCTCGCCCTGAAGAAATGAACTCCCCCGTCACCGCTACTGCTGTACGAATGTCGGGGCTCGGGCTGCTGCTCTAGTGGAGGAGCGGCCAATCGCCCTTCAGTTTCATTTTCCCTCCCGGGATCAGCGTTGCGATCAGCAGGAGTGCCAGCAACACCGGCGGCATTGGCAACCGGGCCATGGGTAAGGTTTCGAAAGGGATGATGGGAGGCCCATGCTGTCATCCCCTGGTAGGGGAGGGGTACGCCACCTCTCCGGCCGACTCCGGCGCACTGCTGCCGCCGCTGCCGCCGCCGCTGTATCCTTCCCCTCGGGGGGGATACGGGTGCGAAACAGGAGAGGGACCCTCGTCAGATGAGACTACACCCCCACGGCCTTGCCTCCGCCCGACATCAAGCGGCAGCTCGTCTTTTCTCCCGCCGCGAAAAATAATTCACCCCAGAAGTAGCACCGGCAGCGGCGGCGCTTGCTGCGGCATCCGGAAATGGCGGGAAATGAGGAATACGGAGGCCTTCCCCTCCTGGCGCTAACCCCGGCGACGGTGTCGGCGACAGCAGCCGGTGAGTGTTCAACAGCGCGTGCGAAGCGCCGCCGCCGGTGCTGGTGGGACCCTTCCTGACGGGGTCGGGGTCGTAGGGATTCACGGCACCCCCCGCGGGCCAGAGGAAGGACGGCGGCAATATCAGTCGCTCTAGCACGGCGCGGTGGCAGACCGGGGCGTTGCTCGTCCTCAGCGAAAGGCCGAACAAGACGCGTCCCGTGCAGTGTTAGGAGGGAGGGGGGGGCATGCAATTATTAGCGAAAGGTCGATTGCCCCTGTTTTGGGGGCTTTGGTTCGAGGTTGTTGCTAGGTATTTGGCTGTGATATTGAGGCTTTTTTTGGCGCGAACAGTAGGGGTTGGGTGGGGGTAGGGCGTGCTCATCGTCACGCACGCCCGTAGTCCTCAAAACGTTGGCCCTGGCACTCGGTGAACTCGAGTTCGGGCCGCATCGGGCAAAATAGGCATAGGCACTTGTCACGTTTCGGGGATACCGTAGTTTTCGGCTTTTGGGAGCTTCTAACGGAAGTCGTGTCTTGAGCGACCGCCACGAACACGAGACGCTCCGCGCTGCGATAGGTTTGTCGAAGACGGCGAAAAATCGTCCATTCCAGGATCGTAGCGTTGTGTGGTAGGGCCTGGTTGAAACGAGGCGTGTCTTTGGGGACAGGTGAGAAAAAAGGGGTATCGTGTTGCGACGGAAAAAAACGATGTCTCGACGTCTCTTTTCGTATGGATATGACTTGCAGCGTGCCGGTCGAAAGTGATTCGGGTATCGTTGAGGTCGTGACACGATGTTTTCCGCCTCCTATCCCCTACATACAGTAGCTCGTCACCTCTTGTACGTCAGGTCTTCCATGCACGGTCCCATAAACAGCCCCACGCACCTGGCTGGGACTCCCACCGATACAAGCCTGCAGGAGAGCAAGACAAAAATGAGAAACACGAAAATCGGCTTGGATCGATCAAAGCCTAGGGAATCCAACTCGTCGCGCCGAGTCAGTGTACGTGTTCGTGATAACATGACAGGATTGATCTAGCCTCCCTCCAGTACGTCCCATCCACTCCTCTTCCAAGGCAAAACAACAACTGGTATCAACAGTGTAGGTCGTCACACGAGGACGTGATCAGTACGTCTGACTGCTTCTTGTCGTTAGTCGGCCTCCCGTCCGCTGCTGGCTTGTAGTTCATTACTCCTCGCCGTGAAGCACACACGAAACCAGCACGGCATGCACGGCCGCAATCCGCACACAGAGAAATTCAGGACAACAGCATTAGACAACGACGGCGACAACAAAAACTACGGAACTAATGCAGCAAAATTAACCATTCGAGCAGCACGTCCAAGTAATTGGTGGAAGTCCCTGCTTGTAGCCCGAAAGAGGGGGTGACTGACTTCACAATACCCTCCGCGTTGCGCAAGCAAAGCCTGGCAAGCAATGACGTTCACCGTATGGCCGCCAATTCACTCATCCTCATCCAGCACCGACATACGTAAATCGCGTGCCCTCTCGCGTCGTTTCATTCTTTTCGGCCGGCCCGATGGGTCCGAATATTGCCAGGTTGATCACTGGCACAAGGTCATCTCAGGCATCAAACTGACTGATGCTGCGAAAGCGGTTGCTTCTGCTGATGCCGCAGTCGCAGCAGCGACGGAAGGGTCCGAACAGAGCGAAGGACGCGCATCGCCCGGAGTAGTCGAAGCCGTACATGTAGACACGTACGTTTTACGTTGTGATTCACGTGTATGTCGTCGTGATCCACGTGTATGTACCGATCCGAAGATATTCAACCTGCGCTTGTTGCTTCACCGCAATGCGATCTACGTGTATGTACCGATCCGAAGATATTCAACCTGCGCTTTTGCTTCACCGCAAAAAACTGGCAGTTCGAGTATTTGGGGTTTCGCGGAGGAACCCGGTTGGATGTGCAGGAAGCCATATGTATACGATCATTCCGACGACGAGGGCGACGAAATAATGTAACATCTACAACAACAACAGCAATAGCTACTACAACGAACACTGAAAGCGAATTAATAGTCGACGGTTCGATCACGTCAGAAACGGGCACTTGGAACGACAGTGCCCGCCTGAAGAGCACCCCTAACGTTGGTTGAACTCACTCCTACCCTCTAAGGTGAGACCGGATCTCGCCTCAATTTGCCGAACCCTTGGTGCAAGCTCGATCTTGCGCCGAAAACGTAATATGCGCACTATCAATATGTTCCTCCCATATCCTAGAGTACTTTCCTCTCTTACCCCAGAGTACTGATAATGTCCGCCCGTCGCGAATGAATCTGCCCCAGCCCCGGTGTTCACCATCGGGTTATGGGATTCCGTCGCTTGGCAACGGCGTTGATAAACAAGCCGCCCTCCCCAGTGTTCGCCATCGGGGTTGAGTTTCGTCGCTTGGCAGCGATGTCGCGAAACAAGCCGATCATTTCGTGAGCTCGGCAACCAGGTTGCCACTTTTTTTTCGTGTTTGATTTTTTTTTTGCGGTAGCCATGAATGATGGTCGAGTAGATTATGTTCTGCAGGGTCGAGAACCCTCATTCTGCGCAATAGGGGTAATCGCACCACGTTGTGAAATATTGGTCAAGCACCCTCGAGGCAGTTACACAGTGCTTCCAAATGTCTTTGGAAGTCAAAGCACAGAAAATAGGTGAAGTCATACGCAGCTGTCACCCGTACACAAGGAATTAAGCACAAGATGCCCTAACCCTTGGCAGGATGCAGCGCACCCTTCATGCGACTCCCCGAATACCTCACGGCGCATCGCGCATGGTGATATGAGAGCCTGGTCCGGCGAGGTCAATGGACGACTGCGGCATGCACGACGATGAGTACCCCCCCCCCCCCCCCCCCCCCCC